TCCGTTGCTTGTGACTTTGCACGAATTCGGTTAAGCTCAGTAATCACACTTGTAACCTGGCACGATCTCGGCATTCTTTCGATACCACGAAATCGCCGACAAATACATCAATGTTTGAAAGCCAACGTACAAAATGGTATAAAGAGGCCAAAAATATTTTCAGATAACAGTTACCTGTAGTTCGGAAGCTTACGAATACCCGGCTTGCCAGATGCCAATTGGAAAGAGAGGTTATACAGTGATAATAGATTCAGTGACGTATGATTCCCAAACTCGATCTCATTCTTCATAGACGGGTAAATTTTCTCAAAGCCAGTGCAACACACTATGGTAAATTTACTCCTAAATGTTCGTCTTTCATTCAGACTTGCTCCCTGTTAATTTAAAAAAGTGAACAATATGAATATACGTTAAATTTGACTCGAAAAATGAAAACTCCTGGTTCTTGGTTTGATTCCTGATTGATTTTGCTAACTCCACCAAAGTAGTTTCGCGATGCTTGTTCGCAAACATTCATAGCTTCACTAAATGAACCTATACGAGTCTCTTTAATCGGCTTGTGAGTTTGTTCGTAAGATTATTTACAAACTGATTACTTCAAGTCGGTATCCTTCGTTAATCGTAAAAGCCACCCGCAGATTGTCACCTTTAGAACCCGACTCCCTCAGCAAGTCCAAAAATCCGTCATTTTGAAGGACAAAAGAGTGAAATGATAAGACATCTTTCAAGGAATCTAAGCTGATGTCACCTTACAAATGTGAGAAGTGAATGAAAATATTATTACCATGAGATATGCTCCGAAGTATTTCCGTAACCGTCAGATTCAAAATGCCACACCTATCAGCTCGGAATCCATTTAAAAGCATATGAATTTCAGACTTGATCTCACCATAACACATTATACAAGCATTGTAACCAGCAAGAAATGCTTTAACAAGAGGCCTAAGGTGTTTTTCGAACAGTTGCACGTTTGTTGTTTCCGCATCCAGTATTTCTACAAACCTGTTTTGAATTTATTTTTAAGCAGAAAAGAACCCCATAATTGTGATTGAAACAGTGGTTTCGATTTTAAATGTAATGATTAACTGGAGACGCACCTACATGAGGTTCCATCAGTATTGCTGAACATCACTTCATTGTTTGAAAAGCTAATTGAAGAATTATACTCTTTGGAGTAAACTTTACAGAGAGCATCGATATTCATACTATGACCTTGACAATTATATAAGTACTAAAATTTGGCATGGTGATTATAGAGTCCAATATCCAATATCTTTATCACGAGCTTGCGCAAACATTGATTTCTTTGCGCCTGCCTTCTGTTGTTTCATTACTGTTCTAGGTACTTGGTTGGGTCCAATGGATGGTAATCTAGCCACTGTATTAATCCTAGTCAGTATGTTAGTTATTTGTGGATTGTCTCAGGGCAGTAGGGTTTCTGGATACCAGCAGCTACCACATCAAAAAGTGGCAGATTACTTATTTTCAATGGGAATATAATGAAGCGATAATGCGATTGATAAGAGATTATTGCTTCCTGAATAAATAATTAATTCGTTTAATTGATAATGTGCTAGAGGAGGAAATTGAAAGTATAAGAGGCTAACAGAGATAGTAAAGAGAGAGATAGGAATTAGTTACATGTTATGCCTCAATGGTAACCGCGATAGTCTGTGGAGCATACTTCTGATAAAGCCGACGCAAGAGGGTAATGATAATCTTCAAGTGTGCATGTGATTGTCAAGTCTCCTATTCAAACTATCCACCGATGGGGCTGTGGTCACTTCGGACAGAAGAGCATTCCGATTCGGGGAAGCTACAATTGATAAAAGTGGGAGAGTGCCTGGGTGCTCACCGTTTGATGCGCAATCTTCCAAGGGCTGCCTTAAGGAGTATGGTGATGATGTGTTGACATTGCGCTTGCTTTGGGGTGGCTCCGCGTACTATTGTATGCCATTATTAGATCACCTCTTATTCCCCTTTAGCTTAGCAAGAATAATCCCAGGTGCCAGAAACTTTTCTTGCGAGGTTTTTCTGTACTTTGTCCTATAGATTTATATTTCTTATGAAGAGAAGAATAGCAACGACATTGTTGACTTCAAGGTAAGGAATGTCCTTTGACATGCTTAAATAAACTGGCTGATTTCTTTCATCCATCTTCCTCTTATTTCGGTTAGGTTCGAATCCTTTGACGATGTCTAATAAACGCCAGTCTAGCCACCTGAATTCAAGGACAGACCTCATCTACATTTGACAGTATTAGAAATGAATCTCGAATCAATAGATCAAGATATCTTTGTATAAAGAGAAAGGTCACATTCACTTTGGCCTCATCCCCAGTGATTATAATTCTGGATCGCTCCCTGAGGAAACAAGTGAGAGTAGATTTGTGCAGGAAACATACATTGTTTGCGTTCTGTGGGTCGAGTGTACATAAGATGACATATTGACTAGCCGAATTTCAACTCATTTCACGCGTTTCCGTATTCGGTCTTCTTTAGGCTCAAATAAATCCTTTTCGCTTCTTAAGAACTTACATATCTTATCATTAACAGTGTGCGTGAAGGTCAGTGAGTTATTTTTGTTGAAGAAGATTAGGAAGAGAAGGGGAATTGTAACAGATATTTGTAAAACTCCTAGTATCAGGATTTCTGAGTCGTGTGCACTTTTTTAACACGGTACAAATAATCGCGTTCTGTAGATTATTTCTAAACTAGTAGATCAGTAAAACTCAACTTCTTGGCCTCCATTGTGAGGAGTGCGTACAATAATGTTTCGAGAAATAACTCACGAACCGGTTTCTTTTAGTCTTAAGTGGTTGTCCGATTCTAAAACGCTAGTAAAATATTGATGGCCCGTGATTTGCCCTTCCTAAGTTCATGCAGAGCCTCATGAAAGTTATTTTTGTCCATACATTTTCTTGCTCGGTCATTAGCTTGACTCTAAGTTACATACAACGTCGAAAATAGTGCAGCTGGTTCGTGACAAATTAAATCTTACACATCGTCATTTCCGAAGACTGAGAGTAGAGTGTCCCTCCATTCTCTGTAAAATTTATGGGGTATATAACGATTGCATTAATCGGTCACGAACTGGTGTGTTGATTACTCTAAGTCACAGCCCGTGAATTGGTGCTACGGAGGAAGCGTACACTAAGCCTGTTAAATCCTGTTTGATCTAGTGAGGAAAGAATCCCAACATCTATATCTTAGATGAAGAAATGAAAAAGGTACCGAATGTTCAAAGTTCATATTTACAACAGATAGAATACATACATTGTGACGCAAAATATCTAGGAATTATTTTACTCTCCCGAGTTCAGTTTTTGAAGGAGAAATCTATAAAAGTTTGGCGGATTTAGCTAATTCCTTTAAATAGTTTGAACTATTAAAATAAGTTAAGTGAAGAGTATTGGCGACAGTGTATGCTAACCGCACAAACCTTGAAGCTATATATTATATTGTTGAACTTTTGGAGAATGTCCGAGAGAAAGAAACTAGACACTTATTGTACAAATAAATGACTTCGATATTACACTTTCTAGAATTTTCATGATGGTTAAAACATAAATCTTCCGGTGGAAGCGAATATATTAATGGATATTGAGTAATATAGGTCAGTTCATCCAATGATCGCTTTGGTCCATCAGTAGTGTGTCTTCCCAAGTGTGGTGATTTGGCAAAGTCTAACAGTTTCATACACACAGTTTGTGCTTAGGGTATGAACTACTTAACGAAGCCATCATTTAAATAGAAGGTATAACTTCGGTCAATTAAAGACGACTGCATTTAATTTCATTCTACTTCATTTTATTGAAAAAGTAGTAACCAATACTTGAACTAACCAGATGAGATAACAAAAAATCTAACCTTCAAAGATACTGCGGCATATTTGTCAGTATTCCGTAGCAACTGTGTTCTGTTTATTACTTGTACGTTTATTACTTAAGTCTTCTTCCAGTAGAAGCTTAAATCGTTTACTCACATGTCTGATTACATTTTAAAGCCCCGAAATTCTTGAAAGAAGATGTGAGTCTCTTGAACAGATAGTGAGAGATTAATTAGAATGAGTTTAACATGTAGAACAAACTATACGAGAGCGAGATTGTTGAGCTAAGTTCCACCTTACGTAGATGTAACTTCATCGTATTTTGCAAGAGATGTAGAAACTTACTGCATCTCAGTTATTTGGTTCTACGTGGGAGCATCGAAAGAAACACTGACACCACCCGTGTAAAAATTCAGTTCGTTAAGAAAATCAAGTTTGAAAGTCATACTTTTTTTCACTGACGCATGACTGCTGTAATACTCTGTCAGCCGACGCAATCTTTCATCAAGGTAGACAATGGACATTAGCATGTATACATACAGACGGATTTTTGTTACGGGAGAACTGAAGACTTTTGACGGATTAAAACCTTTTATTGTACATTAATAATTTACTGTGCTTTTGGATGTAATTGTTTTACTTAACTTTTGAACTTGTTTGTTTATATCATTATTTCGGACATTTTGGTTTGTCTTTGGTTTGGTATTTTGGTGCTCCTTTTGTCTTTGGTTTAGTATTTGGGAGTTTTGCTCCTGGAACCTACAAAATTGAAGGTTTGTTTTGTAATTGTTATAATTATTGTTATTAGAAAGACATTTGGTCGATTACTTGTGAATTACGAATAAACTTGGTATCTAAATTGGGACTTGGTTCTGTTGTTAATTTGGGTTCGTAATTTGCGAGTAGATCGATAGTCCGTACTTCAATAACTGGAACGAGCAAAACTTGGACGTAACAAAAAGTTCTTCAATTATTGGTTCTGTGTTCATACCTTGGGTTTTCTGGATATTTTGGGTCCGAATTCCTGGTCTTATTGGTCGATTTCGTTTGGATTAATTCAGATTTGTTTTGGCAATTGATTATTTGGAACAACAAATACGATGGAAACACGGAGTAAAAGGCTGAAGGAAAATGACGAAATGGATGGTAACATTTCTAAAGCTGTTTGTGGTATGTCTGATGTTATTGATGATAAATGTGATGATGTTAGTCTTAATAGTATGTCCTCTAGCCAGCTAAGTACTTCCAGATTAAAGTTAGATAAGGCATTACTGAGGAAAAGGAATTTAGAGAAGAGACTTGAGTTAGAACGGCAACTTAAGATGTTAAATCTACAAGAAGAGGTTGATATCGCTGAACTAGAATGCAAAGCCATCGAGGACGATGGACGATTACCCGTAGATAAATGTGGGACAAATGCTAAAGTGGAAAATTATTTGGATCATGATATTGGGTGTAATAATCACTCAGGGAAGGTCTGTGACATCTCAAATGTCGATTGGGTTGAGGAACTGAAGGACACGTTACATACAATGGTTAGTAACATGTCTTTACCTAAGATCGATATGATGTACTTTGATGGGCAACCAGGTCAGTATTACCGTTTCATTAGTCAGTTTAATAGCCTTATAGAGAGTAAATTGTCAGATAAGGGCCAATTGTTGTCGTATTTGTTATACTATTGTAAGGGAAAGGCCAGGACAGCTATTGAAGCTTGCATTTCATTGCCCATTCATCTGGGCTACGATAGAGCTAAACAGATTTTGTATGATTTATTTGGTAAAGAACATCTTGTTGCACGAGAACTTATTATTGAGTTATTAAACCATAAATCTGTCGGAGGATCAGCTGACTTATTAACTGACTTTGCGATTAAATTGCGTAATGTATGTATAACGTTGATGGAAATGGGATACATGTCTGACGTTAATTCTACGGCTAATTTGGAGGTAATAGTTTCATGTCTACCACTAGAATTGCAGAATAAGTGGGTGGAAGTCGCCGATAAAATCATGATGCATGGGAAGGAGCCGAGCTTCGAAGAATTTGTGGTCTTTGTAGAAGAGAGGGCCAGAATTGCCCGAACCCGTTATGGTAGATTAGTACAGTGTAACTCAAGGTTCGGTAAAAGGAATCCTGAAGGCCAAGCTGATAAGAGATCACGCTTTCATGCAATCAGACGAGACCCAAATAACTCAGTCAAGGTAACACGTTGTGAAATCTGCGTAGGTGATCATGAGGCGACAGATTGTCCAAGGTTGGCAAAAATGAAAGTAAAAGAAAGGAGGCAGGAGGTAAGAAAACGTGGTCTATGTTACTTATGTTTAAGGAAAGGTCACATAGCTATGACATGCAACTCAGGCATCAAGTGCGACGTTGAGAATTGCAAGGTTGGGCATAATTCATTATTGCATATTGATAGTATTGATAACCATGTGGTGAACCTAAATAAGGATTGGAACTCCTCAAAGGTTTGTTTGGGGATCGTTCCAGTCAGACTATACGGTCCCAAAGGATGTTTGGAAACATATGCACTTTTAGATAGTGGTTCGGACACTTCTCTTGTATGTGAAGAATTAATTAATCAGTTGGGTATCAAAGGTAAAGAGACTTCGATAAGGGTGGCGACTGTGAACGGAACTACCAATTGTGATTGTTTGGAGGTAAATTTAGAGGTATTTTCATTAGATGAACAGGGTTCTATAAGGATCAACAAGGTTTACACGACCAAGAAACTTCCAATCGATCATGCAACACCTTTAACCGAACTCCAACTGAAACGGTGGAATCATCTAAAGGACATAACCCTTCCGAGGTTGCAAAGTAATTTTGTAGGAATATTGATTGGGTGTGATGCTCCGGATGCTCATTGGGTCCTAGAACAACGTATGGGGACAGGAAGCATCCGTTTGCTGTGCGTACTCATCTTGGTTGGATGATTATAGGTCCTAAGGGAGTATCTAGGTCTCTACATCAAGTTCAGTGGTGTCATTGTTCCACTAATGATATTTTGCGAGATTTAGAAAGACTATATAATCATGAGTTCGAGGATGCAGATACGTTTCGTAATGGATATTCTGTCGAAGATAAAAAAGCTCTAGAAATAGTTAACAGTTCGTTTAGATTGAAGGGTGGTCATTTCCAAGTTGGTCTACCATGGAAGTATGATAAGCCAAGACTACCGAATAATTTGGAACTGGCTAAACGCAGATTAGAATGCCTAAGGAAGAGGTTTATGAAAGATAACAGTCTTTTGGAGAAATATCAAGTTGTGATGAATAAACATTTAAGTAAGGGCTACATCATTGAAGCTAGTGAAGAGGGATTTGACTGTGATGCTGTTTGTTGGTATATTCCTCATCATCCTGTTATCAACCCTAAAAAGCCTGGAAAATTAGGAATTGTTTTTGATTGTGCGGCTGTCTATCAAGGTTGTTCTCTTAATGACCAGCTTTTGAGAGGACCGAATACTGTAAATAGTTTAATTGGTGTACTTCTGCGATTCAGATTAGGTAACGTAGCGTTGGCTGCTGATATCGAGGAGATGTTTCTTCAAGTAAAGATCCCGAGACAAGACAGGGGAGCATTTCGTCTATTGTGGTGGGAAGACGGTGATATACGACGAACGGCTAAGGAATATTGTTTAACAGTTCATCCGTTTGGAGCCGTTTCCTCCCCCTTTTGCGCTAATTTTGCTCTTAAGAAGACGGTAGATATATTCGGTAAGGAATTCAATGAAGATATCCAGGATGTCGTAGATAGGAGTTTCTATGTCGACGACTATTTAGCCTCTATTGATAATGTACAAGACGCAATTGAGATGGCAAAGACCCTTGGTTCTCTCCTCAGAAAAGGTGGATTTAGATTGACCAAGTGGATAAGTAACTGTTTACAAGTTCTTGAATCAATTCATCCAGAAGAGAGAGCAGAAGCCGTAAGAGAGATTGACTTTGAAAGACTTCCTACTGAACGCACGTTGGGATTATTTTGGAATACTATGGTTGATTCGTTCGAATTTAAAGTTCACATACCGAAACGCCCCCTCACTAGGCGAGGTATATTGTCAAGTGTAGCCTCACTTTATGATCCTCTGGGATTGGTAGCACCGTTTATACTTCCCATGAAGCAGTTACTTCAACGTTTAGGTAAATTGGGACTAGGATGGGACGAAGAGATTCCGAATGAGGAAAGCAAACGCTGGTTAGAGATTTTAAGTGAATTTCAGAGGGTTGAGAACGTTAGTTTTCCACGTTGTGTATTGTTTCCGCAATCAGATCGTTCGCTCCTGGAACTTCATATTTTCAGTGATGCATCGGAAACTGGGTATGGTGCGGTAGCATACGTTCGCTCTTACATTTCTGACATTAAAATATGTTCTCGTCTTGTTACGGCTAAGGCAAGAGTAGCCCCCTTGAAGGTCCAAACTATACCGCGCTTGGAACTTACGGCAGCAGTTTTAGCAGCTCGTATGGGATACCAACTGCAGTCAGAATTAGATATTAAGTTTGCAGAGGTTAAATTTTGGACGGATTCCATGGTTGTCTTGCACTATATTAGAAATGAGAAAAGCCAGTTTAAAACATTCATAGCAAATCGAATTTCGACTATTCACAGTCTTACTAAGGTGGACCAATGGAGATTCGTACCTTCTAAAGAAAACATAGCAGACTTTGCATCCAGAGGGGTGAAGTTTGATATTGATGATGTCAAGGTTTGGGAGGAAGGTCCACATTTTCTCAAGAAGCCGAAGGAGTGTTGGCCTGCCGCTGATGTACAATGTCCTGAACCCCATCTCTTGGAAATAAAGAAGGCAATGTCGACGCATGTAATGGCTGAAGAATCCACTGTTGATCAACTTATTAATTATTATTCAGATTGGACTAGATTACTTAAGGCTGCTGCGTGGTTAATCCGATTTAAGCGATATTTATTGGTAATGCGTTCTGGTAGAACTGATCTGTCTCTACAGGTGGGCATGCTTAGAGTTGATGAGTTAAATTTCGCTTGTTTAGAATTAATTCGATATGTCCAACGCATAGTATTTCGGAAAGAGATTGAAATGTTATTGTCCGATACCATTAGCAATATAAAGATAAAAAATTCGCCGTTACGAATCTTAAATCCAATGATGATAAACGGATTATTATGTGTTGGTGGCCGCCTTCAAATTAGTTCCTGGCCCGAGTCGAGGAAGCATCCTATAATATTACCATCGAAGCATACAATTACACATTTGATTCTACAGCACTACCATACTTTGGAGGGACATGTTGGAGCTACACAGGTAATGGCAACGGTCCGAGAAAGATTTTGGGTGCTGAGGGGTGGTGTAGCCATGAGGAGGGTGATAAAGAATTGTGTTTATTGTAAAAGGAGGAACGCCCGTCCCATTCAACAACTAATGGCACCATTGCCTCCGGTCAGAATAGAAGGTGGTGACTACCCATTCTTATCAGTTGGGGTAGATTATTTTGGGCCCATTATGGTTAAACATGGTAGAAGTATTGAAAAGCGATATGGTTGTGTATTCACTTGCTTAAGGTTGAGAGCTGTGCATCTGGAGGTGGCATATAGCTTCACCACAGACTCATTTATCATGGCACTAATAAGATTTGTCAGTAGGAGAGGCTATCCAAAAGAAATATACAGTGATAATGGATCAAATCTGGTGGGAGCTGAGCGTGAACTAAGAAGAAGTCTTCAGGGTTGGGTGCAGGAGCGTATACACTCTGCATTACTAAGAAAGGGGATTGACTGGCATTTCAATCCTCCGGCTGCTAGTCATTGGGGAGGAGTGTGGGAGCGCATGATTCGCTCTGTACGAAAGGTATTGGGTGCTCTTGTAAAGGAACAATCTTCAACAGATGAATGTCTTGAAACTTTCATGACAGAGGCTGAGCGTATAATTAACAATCGACCTTTAGTTCCCGTTATAGACGACTCGAACGATTTCGAGGCCATAACACCGGCAAAACTATTGCTATTGAGAGAGAATGTCGAGGAATTCACTTACACTCTACCTAATGACAGATTTTCTAAGAGATGGAAGCAGGCGAGTTACTTGGCACAGGTATTTTGGAAACGTTGGTCTAAAGAATATGTTTCGCTATTGCAACGTAGATATAAGTGGACCCAACTAGAGAGGAACATACGAGAGGGTGACTTAGTAATGATATGTTCCGAGTTCTCCGAGAAAAATAAATGGCCCTTAGGTCTAGTGCAGAGAGTGTTACCAAGTAGGGATAGATTAGTGAGGCAGGTAGAATTGAGGACAAGAAAAGGGATCATAGTAAGAGATATTAGAAAACTGTGCCTTCTTGAAGCCGTAGATGGTAGGTAGCTACTCGGATCCCTAGGCGTACTGGTGTAAGTCCTAGGGATCACGAGATTTTTTGGTGTATTGAGTGTTTGTTGTTGATTGTTTGTGATGCATAAACTTGGATTCTTGTTTATTTAATTGTCTGTGAAAAGAACCAAGGTTCTTTTGGTCGGGAGTGTTACGGGAGAACTGAAGACTTTTGACGGATTAAAACCTTTTATTGTACATTAATAATTTACTGTGCTTTTGGATGTAATTGTTTTACTTAACTTTTGAACTTGTTTGTTTATATCATTATTTCGGACATTTTGGTTTGTCTTTGGTTTGGTATTTTGGTGCTCCTTTTGTCTTTGGTTTGGTATTTGGGAGTTTTGCTCCTGGAACCTACAAAATTGAAGGTTTGTTTTGTAATTGTTATAATTATTGTTATTAGAAAGACATTTGGTCGATTACTTGTGAATTACGAATAAACTTGGTATCTAAATTGGGACTTGGTTCTGTTGTTAATTTGGGTTCGTAATTTGCGAGTAGATCGATAGTCCGTACTTCAATAACTGGAACGAGCAAAACTTGGACTGACACCACCCGTGTAAAAATTCAGTTCGTTAAGAAAATCAAGTTTGAAAGTCATACTTTTTTTCACTGACGCATGACTGCTGTAATACTCTGTCAGCCGACGCAATCTTTCATCAAGGTAGACAATGGACATTAGCATGTATACATACAGACGGATTTTCTCTGGTTGGAACGCAGTTTGAATGCATGAGGTCATGTAATGCAATCATCTATTTCATTTTACTACATGTTATCTGCTTATTGTATCTCGTAATGACATATATTTTTAAACCATCAGAACAGAATTGGGATTTACTCTCTCCCTCTTCCTCATATTTGTGGCCAAATATAGGTTATCGAACAGCGTCTAAGTTACTGTGACTCAAACACCATGTAATATGATTTATTCATCAATCTTATTCGAACCAACTAACAGTAGTCGGATAGTTCTTCCAACCCCGACGAATTATGCCACGTAATGGAATGTAATCATGTACATCAAAAAACAGGCACAAAGATACAAACTGACTCGTCAGGATTTGACCCAACAACCTGAAGTTTGCTTAGAAGAACTTTGTACCTCCCCAAAAGAAAAATTTACGGGAAAGCGCAGATGTGTTTGCAAGGTTGGAGGTAACTACACTATATCCTCTTGTATACTAGTACATCGATTAACCACTGCGTAAAATTCAACCCTAATATTTGGTAACGGCTTTTCAATATAATGATGATCGCTCACTTAACCTGTATCTGAATGATCGGATAAACTGAGAAATCCCTACGACTAAGTGATAAATAGATGTAGTTTAAGGAATGTAAAGCTGGGGGTTATGTAAGTCATTTACTGTGACACCTTTTAATGAGCCTGGTATGCTTTTGAAGGATAAATGGTAAGACTCCTGAACAAATACTCCAGTCGGCATACTTCAAATCGTCAATTAGTCTAAATGGAAGACCTTCATTGTGTAGAAACCCATTAGTCCCTGACTTTTTAATCTCTTGTGTTACTCTAACCTAGTTGTGGGTGAAAGAAAAGACTATATCAGACCGAACTGTACTTCCTGG